TTTGGCCTCTTCTATTAATATATCCGATATACGCCCTTCCTCCTTTCCTTCTCTGTGATGGAAGTTATATATCCGACACATCATTCAGCCTGAATGATATTACAATATTTTGTTTTCAACACTTTTATCTACGGGATAGTTCATAACTGATGGGGTGTGATGCTGATCTTTATGGAGAAGCATGTGCAACGTGAATGACCCACTCCCCTTACAATTTATGTACAAAGTATGTGACACCCCCCATGCAGCATGTAAAGTACAAAATCAATGACCGCCCTCCCCGGCCCTCATTATTCCCATAATGTTTAAGCACCGTTTTTAAATTTTGTCAAGTACAAAATCTCTCTCTCTCTCTCTCTCTCTCTCTCTCTCTCTCTCTCTCTCTCTCTCTCTCTCTCTCTCTCTCTCTCTCTCTCTCTCTCTCTCTCTCTCTCTCTCTCTCTCTCTCTCTCTCTCTCTCTCTCTCTCTCTCTCTCTCTCTCTCTCTCTCTCTCTCTCTCTCTCTCTCTCTCTCTCTCTCTCTCTCTCTCTCTCTTTGTCAAGTACAAAATCTCTCTCTCTCTCTCTCTCTCTCTCTCTCTCTCTCTCTCTCTCTCTCTCTCTCTCTCTCTCTCACACACACACACACACACACACACACACCACCCCTAGTTTTTGTGTACAAAATAGATGTCCCTTCTACCTCCCCAGAACAAATTTAAAGTAATGGACCATTTAAAATGCAGCAAATTCGGTGAATATGGAAATGTTTTCATAGTTACATAGCTTATTACGACAAAAATCAGAATTATTTCAGAACACAATGGGGTGTTTGAACTATTTCCATTAACGTGGCCGATTATAGGATATTTATTACGCTATGTAAATTACATGATGCTTGCATTATAAAACACTGACTGACTGAGTTTAGTTTTACGCCGCTTTTAGCAATATTCCAGCAATATCACGGCGGGGGACACCAGAAATGGGCTTAACACATTGTGCCCATGTGGGGAATCGAACCCGGGTCTTCGGCGTGACGAGCCAACGCTTTAACCACTAGGCTACCCCAACGCCCCGCATTATAAAACAACACAGTTAATGAAAATGAAACGTCGTACACCATGGGAGGTTTGCTTGAGTGGGAATTGCCACACGATATAAACGATTGAATAACTGACGAGTACAAAAATAATTAGAAACCCTTAAGGTTCTTCCAACCTATATTGGAAAATTAAATGTGAGCTACATATTTGCAGAGGAATATGGAAATATGTAACTGATAATTTTCAGTGTCTCCTCACAAAAACATTAACTAAATCATATTCCGCGCATAGTTCGCCTTAAGTTTTAGAGTTAACCGGGAGCAGTACTGCAGTAAATAGGGTTTTACGAAATTGTGGACTGTTTATCCCAGTTCTGGTCGTATCCCAGTTCTGGTCGCTACATACGTCTTCTGTTGTGTGTAAGCGATATATGTGCCCGACGTGAGTGGTCTGGCTCGCTCCCCGCCTGATCAGAACCCCTACTACGGGTATGTTGGACCACTGCGCCGCACCCTGCCTCCAAAACTAACGCTTAATCTCTGAATATATATAATTTTTGTAATAACAAACAAACCCATTTAAATTGAAAAGGAGCCCCAGTGAGACCAGAGACCTGGGGAAATCTAGACTTGCTTCATTTTGGGCTTTATCATTGCAGTGGGGGCTAGTCAGTAAGGAAAATAATGTGGTTCAGGGACTGTGAGACAAACCACCTGTCTCCCGGCTGTACCAGGTTGTCTCCGATCGACTCACAGAGCACTCTCATGTTAGATTCCATCGTGCGTTTAGGAGGGTCTGGTCTGATGCTATATACACCTCGTTGAAGTTCCGCGAGTTTTCTCTTCTGTGTCAGGATCTTATATTTATCCTCCATCGAACGACAACTATCTACGATGACAGCGAGATAACGTGAACGGCTCGCCTCCCTCCGGTCTGCCCGGTCAGCCTCGATAGCTCTCAAGTCCATCTCGTAAAAGAGCCTTCACCTTGCTTGTCACGTCTTCATTAACACTCTCGGGAAGATTGAGTATGGTTATGCTTAGTCTTATATCATCCCGATGTTGCTTGACCTTTAAACCAGATAATACTTTAGTATTTGATTTTATTGCTCCTGAATGAAACTGCTCACTTTACTGTGTTCAGACGTTCATCTCTGTCATCAAATATTCACTTCAGAAATCTTCTATATATATAAACTGTAACTGTGAAATGTGACTATCATAAATTGTAACTGTGAAATGTGACTAACAAATTGCCTGCCTATAAATTTGGTGTTATGACTTTTTCTACTTTTAAATGACAATGTAATGAATATATGTTTTTGAAATAAAACTCATTCCGAGTATGTACTTACAATGTTTATTAATGCAAACTTGTTTTCGTCACTATATGGCTGGAATAATGCCGATGTGACGCAAAACCCAACTCAACTCAACTCAACTCTATTTCTTTCCCAACCATCCTTTTGACTTTTTCGTCCAATTCCAAATCAAATCTATGGTCAAAATGAGTAATTAACTTGTCGATAGCGTTCATGATGTGAGAAACACTTTGTTCTCTGAAATTCTCGACGCTGGGGTACAGTGTTATCGGTATACGGCAAGTTCGAAACACCTCATGCGAGTCAATATAAAAGAATTAGCTATTGAATAACACGTTTGATAAATGATTCAGGACACGGTTTCTTATGATTCACTTAAGCTGCCTCTCACGAAACAGACAGCTAAATGACACTGGGTCACACTGGGCATCAATCCTATCTGTCGGACCACGACCTCATGTTAATCAACCACACCTGAATAGATAACCTGTGGTCAATAGTATGAGCATTAGTACTCGCGGTCCATTCCAGAGGATACACAGCCACGTCACAACAGAGTTGGTCCTCAAACCGATGAAGAGTCATGGACCTTATTTACAAACGGTATTGACAAACTTTATGGACGTCCAACTCACGATAAAAGTTGTTATCCATAAGGGTTTTCAATATTGTACTTCCCAACTTCTAAAATGCCATTCAAAGAAGTCATGGACCTACCCATAGACATCAACGAACATGGCCATCCGCTCCCATTCATATAGAACGTGTCAATAATCATGGATCTAACTCATAAACATTTGTAGATAATTTATTCATAAGAAACTGTGAGGCTACAGGCAAGTTTAAAAACATTTAGGAAGCACTTGTATAAAATATATACATACCATAACGTGTGCGGCATGATGGATATATATGGACACATTCCGTTAAAAAACAATGTTAACTGAAGATACTGGGGAAGTGTATACGGGTAACAGTAAAGGAAATACATTTATGGATGACAACTCCTTTACAATGTTATGTAAAAATTCACTGTGGAAAACTAAACATATGATATCAACAAGAGTTTCATACAAAATAGTAAAAGACATACCAGGTGACAGATAAACATACCAAGTGACAGAATACATACTGTGGCGTGGTGATTGTTCCATTTATGCACAGAAAATGACACGCCCACAAATTCAGTAGCCAAATGTTAAGGAGAGTTGCATCAAAACATAAATTCACAGGACCTGTTATTCACGGTAAGAAGCGAGAGTGAGTGAGTTTAGTTTTACGCCGCACTCAACAGTATTCCAGCTATATGGCAGCGGTCTGTTGATCCAGCGATCAACAGCATGAGCATCGATCTGCGCAATTAGGAACCGATGACATGTGTCAACCAAGCCAGCGAGTCTGACCACCCGATCCCGTTAGTCGCCAGTTACGACAAGCATGGGACCTTCACGGGTCAAGAAGCGAGAACTACACCAGTCTGACTGTAACGAGCCGGGACAAATAATAGGAATAGAAACCATGTTTCATTCAGGCGAGCACAAGAAAAACATGCGATTAGACCTGCGAACCCCGCTGGTATCGAAAGGTGGCTTGAACCATCCTCAGTATGTGTGACATAGGTAAAATATCCTGTTCACAAATAATAGATGGGATTCTCCGACAATCTGTAGTGGGGAAAGTAGTCCGATTTGGTGGGCGTGACTTAAAATAACACGTGACCACTTTAGCTAGTCAGAATGCAGGGATTACAAAGACCACAACGAAATTATTATTTTGATGTGTCTTTTCGGTACAGATTGTTATACCGGACCTGAACCCGTGTCACTCTTGTGAACATACAACAACACAATAACTATCATGACAGAATAAAGAAGAATTCTTGCTTCTACTGTTACCAACTACTCAAATGCGAATCATAACAAGTTTTGGATTTACATAGATGTGTTTTTGAAACATGCAAGTTTTAGATTAACATATGTACAGCATGTGAAGGAGAAGCGATATTCCCCGTCTATAAGATCGCGATTACATTAACTACTAAAGTCTTATGTATATTCCTGCTTCAGTCAAACGAGTTGTGGGAATCAAATCGAAATAGTGCTTAGGAAATTCTATATTTTCCAATAAGAATAATAAACAAAGATAATGTTCTGTGTACTTATCAGACAAACTTGTGTACAAGTGAAATCCATTTTTGAAAACTGCCTATTTTAAAGTTTTGTATCTTGGACAATAACTTTATCTGAATAAACTTGAACAGGTGCAATCACTGCGAGCCTTGTGTTGCGCACACCTTTATATATCCGCTTGCACCAATGGCTGTAACATGACAAAAAGACATCACTTGTGCATAATACAAGAGTCAGTTGACCTGGGAATGTAAGGACAGTCTCACTTAAGTGGATAAAGAAAGTGGAAGCAAATGGGACTCAATACATGATGGTCTATTGGATACGATGTACGTTTAAATCTACCAAATATATCTTGGAAGGATTCTTGCAAGATCACATCAGCATCAATACTTAATTCCGAAAGGTATATAATTTATATGAATAGAGTTATTCTGGTATTGCGTCAAACAATCAACCAATCATATAATCGTAGTTTTCCTGGGGTACAAAACAGTGTGTAATCTACTATCATCAATGCTAAACAATCAAGTGGAATATATCTGTGTAGATCAGCATCAGTCATCATTGTTTTCATGAGACCGGAATGTCCACCTTCTGCTGGAATGTTCAGTTTCTGTGTTTGGCGTACACCCACAGACCTTCAGTGGACTTCATCACGCCAGCAAACCTTCTCCCAACCTTGTAGCTTGTATCTACCTCTAACTTGTATCTGAAAAGCAAAACATTCTTGAACTTTATTTTTTGCATTAGCAATGAAAACTAGAACATATATATTTAGTAAGAACTGACTTCAGCTTTCTCAGACGTGGTAATAACAAAAAGAGATCTTTTGAATTTGTTGGTTGTATGCAGTTTGTAAATTGTATTTCAAAGCAGGAAATATATTTGTTTTTAATGTTACAGGGGCTGAAATTACATGTAACAAATTATTAAAGAAAACATACCTCTGGAGAATTCTCCCTATTATGACCTTTTCCTCGTTCTGGGCGAAATGTTGCCCAATGCAGTTTCTGAAGAGAACATATATGAACAATAAATAACACATTCTCCCATGTTCTCACATACTCTCGCGAGGGATATATAGCTACAGGGGAAAAGAAGGGAAGAATTTTTCTTGCAACTGAAATGTGTAATAAAAGCAAATATCGAACCTGTCCATATTATCCCATTCTAGCAACGGTAAGATTTAATCTGGGTCGGAGTGATTTTCTGTGGAAGGCAATTGGTTCAGTCAAGTGAGTATGGTTTTACGCTGCTTTAATCAATATTTCAACAATATCACGGCCCGGAACATCAGAGAAGGTTCAATGAAGACTGAGAGCAAGAAATCAATTTGCAACGAAATGAACCTTATAATGTTTGAAATGTTGTACATTTGCGTCCCGAATAGACGTATTTTTGGTCCGATTTTAAAAAAACGAAAATATATTTTACAAAACAGGACAGTCTAGAAGTATTTATGCGAGTCCTGACTAAACGTCAGTCCTGTTCTTAGTTTGGATGTATAGTGTCTAGTGCTTCTGTAATAAACTACAATTTAGAATCACAAACAGATTTCGAAGAACGAAAGATTGAAAATATGATAACAATGTATATATTCGTCATTTTTCTACTCACACTACTCGGGATTGTACACTACAACATGCAGGGTTCGTGATGAAAACAACATTAATTCTGTAATTAATCGAGTCTGGACCAGACAATACAGTGATCAACAGCATGAACATCAGTCTACGCAATTTGGACACGATGACATGTGTCAACCAAGTCAACGAGTTTGACCACCCGATCCCGTTAGTCGCCTATTACGACAAGCATGGGTTACAGAAGATCAATTCTAACGCGGAGCTTCACGGGTGCAGAGTGAGTGTCGGAACCTAGGTTTGACACAACAATCCCAGCTGTAGTTTAACCTAACACAATAAACAGACTGGCTGGACAGACATTATAAGTTGTTCACTGGTCTCGAGAAGGACATGGGTAGATGTACCCTCGATGTTTGTATATGTTCCCTGAGCCCGAAGGACCAGTGAACAACGTATTTATGTTACCGAACACCTCAATGGTAATTTTGAACCATTTGAAGCACGGGTATCGATCATAGCATGGAGTACCAGACAACAAGAAAAACAAATTTAGAGTTATCTCCCTTCCATCGATTTGCATTCCCAAAAAATCGGTAATTTCCGTACATCATACGTGATTCAATGTTGATCGAGATAAAGACTTACTACTACGAAGTTCCAAATGAGTACTCATTCCCAGCGGGGTACATAGAGAATGTTACTCGCTTGTAAGCGGGGTACATTGAAAATAATAGAAGAGCGCTCAGCCAATCAGAAAACGACATTTATGTGTGAGGCAAGGTAAGTAGTATTACCGTGGGCCAGCAGAGAAGGGGATGTATGAGTAGGTGTTCTGCTTCTGGATGTTCTCAGGCAGGAAACGGTCGGGGTCAAACACATCCGGCTTCTCCCACAAGTCTGGGTTGTGATGAACATTCCATATGCCCAGTGCGACCATTGTTCCTACTGGAAAGACCTTCCCGTCCAGCTCCATGGGATGTTCTAGTCTCCGACTGACGAACGGGACTGGCGAGTGTAACCTCATCCCTTCCTTCAGAACCCGGGCTAGATATTCCATCTTGTGGATGTCATCCCTAAAACATATACGTGGTTCATTACCTTCCAGTAGTCAAACTTCTCCAAATATAAAGTCAAACATGTTAACAGACGCATAGTTTATTAACGTCTCGCCTCAATTTACAAATAAGATGCTATGAAATAACGTAATATAAAATGAGCCACTCCTGTTGGAGTTATGAGGATGCTTAGAAGTAGGATAAACCATATTTTAAAAAAAACCCATGCACATTGCAGTAGATAAAAGAAATTCTGTAATACATATATATAATGATTATAAAACAGGTACTACGCAGCTGTAAAATTGCCTTGTAGGTTTTTGCACTAAGCGTTACAATACCACGATTGGCCAGGATAAAACACTAGGATATTAATATGTAGACTGACTGAGCGAGTTTAGTTTTACGCCGCTTTTAGCAATATTCCAGCAATATCACGGCGGGGGACACCAGAAATGGGCTTCACACATTGTGCCCACGTGTAGAATCGAACCCGGGCCTAAAAGCTGCGTGAAACCATACTCACTCACTCACTTTTTCTGGCAATTTCTCCTACTCTTCTCTAATTTCTCCTAAGATGAGTGCCACGTACTCTTGATTTGTCCAAAATATTGAAAAATACCGTAACGTTATCAATATTTAAATAATACCCTATTGGAAATGATAATTATGTTTATGCTTATCAACTTGTTAAGATGTGAAAACAATTTTGAAGTATTTACTGCCATACCATGGTATGTATTGTACAGGTGATGTGATTGACCAGGTTACCTGCCATACCAGAGTATGTTTTGTACAGGTGATGTGATTGACCAGGTTACCTGCCATACCAGGGTATGTATTGTACAGGTGATGTGATTGACCAGGTTACCTGCCATACCATGGTATGTATTGTACAGGTGATGTGATTGACCAGGTCACCTGCCATACCAGGGTATGTACTGTACAGGTGATGTGATTGACCAGGTTACCTGCCATACCAGGGTATGTATTGTACAGGTGATGTGATTGTCCAGGTCAACTGCCATACCAGGGTATGTATCGTACAGGTGATGTAATCGACCAGGTTATGTGCCATACCAGGGTATGTATCGTACAGGTGATGTAATTGACCAGGTAAAGTGCCCTGACAATAATAAGTGGGGTTCCCGACCAGCAGAATTAATTTCCCCGATGATTGCCATACCACGCGATTTGCTCTGCTATGTGATTCCCCCTACAACATGTACCCGAACCAGTGCTGTGCCCTACCATTTGATGTGCTTGGATTCTCTTCCTTCCAGCAAGGTGTCCACTTCCTCCTGGACCCTGGTCTGGAACTCGGGTTTGGAGGCCATGGTAAACAGCGTCCATGAGATCGCACTGGCTGTTGTGTCGTGACCTTCACAAAAAAGAAACGCAGATCAAAACATCCACTTGAAATAAAAGTCCTGCGGAGAAGCAACACATCCTTCACATAACTGGTCCATGTCCAGGGTCACAAGATTTGTCGATAAATCAGTTTCTGTGGTGAAGGATTGTTGATATTAGCTACAGATGTATGCTCGTTGTGCCTCTTTTTAGATATTATTGGTGATGTCAGAGGTTAACGTTTCCTGAAAACATTTATAGTCATGCTTTGACCAGATGTGAACGGGGACATACTTTCGGTCGATGTCTTGTGGACTATCTCTCATGTACTTGTAGATAACACCATGACAATGACCATGTGGAAATTGCAGCAAATGCAAGTGAAAAATTCCGTCTGTGTTCACATAATGTGATCGGAATCTCTGTACAATGTCGCATTTCCATGACCAAGTAAGAATACATTTATTAAGATTAGGATTTACTAATGTTTGTGAGATGGAGGGGGTGAGAGTTTTAGCTTATCCACTTTAAAAATATTACTACAATATTGCGGTGGGGGCAGCCACAAATGGGCTGCACGCATCGTACCCGGGTTTTTGGCCTGACTAGCGAACGCCTTAACCACTAGGCTACCCCACCGGTACATTGTGAGATGGAAATACATTCAACCTTAAGAATAAATTTAATCGAGAATGAGCGATAGAACACTTATAAATCTAGGACCAGGCCAACTATGTTTAATCTATATGGGTGATTGCATCAATTTTGCGTATTGTCAGATGACAATACCATTGCTGTTTAAGATCAACAACCATGGCCATGTTTGAGTCAAATAAAGTAGTGCTTATGTCCATACTGAGGAGGTGTCTGTAGATCATAATACTATACATTCCGAAGTGGAGTCCGGAAAACCTTCTGCAATTTTCTCATCTTTTTTGCATGTAACCTTTCCATTACAACATTATTATTCCTTCATTATGATTTCGCAGTGCATGCATGTGTAATGACAGAGACATGTTCCAACGATCAATAAAGGATGGTTATCCCGGTAAACAGCGATATGTTTAGTCGGCATACCTGCAAATAGAAACGTGTCGACTTCATTCCTGACCTCTAGCGGGGTGAGACCCTTGCCATCAGCATCCTTGGCACTGAGCAGGACGTCAAGGAAGTCCAGGTAGCGGGCCTTGGGGGGACCATCTCTCTCCTGTATATATACAGTTAGATCATAAACACATGGCAATGCTATTCAAAGGTATAATGTTACATACACTACAATATCTCAAAGTTTAGAAAACAAAATAAACATCCCAGCATATGTACTCAGTATTAGAATATAACCCATTGCAACATCTTACCTGTCGCAAGATACACACAAAATAAGTTCCATGTATAAAAACTAAAATACTATGTATATATTCAGGCATGTGAAAAGTTCATTTTCGAAATATTCTCAGTTTTTTTGTGGGTACATTATTGAAATGCCGTATTTTCAGAAAATGTTTTTCGATTAACCAGGATAAGTCTAGCTATCTTACCACAGCGTGTTTGGGTACAAAATGGTTTAACGCTAAAAGATTAATATGAAATAAGACTTGTATGTGTACCAATATTTGGCTAATTCGCCAACTAAATGTGCATTACTTTCCTTTGAATTATCTCTACCTGCCGAGCTCCTCGTACATTTGATTTGGGGTTGACGTATGAGCGAAGTTTAAGGGACTATATTACACGGAATTAACACATGCAATACCGTTATATTGAAAGGGGCCTTCTATGATTAAAAGTTATTTGTGGCTTCCATGACCCACGTATGTTTTATACAGAAAATTTGTTTGCTTCCAGTCTTTCTGTTAATAGGGGCGGTGGGGTAGCCTAGTGCTTAAACCGTTCGCTCGTCCAGCCGAAGACCCGGGTTCAATTCCCCACATGGGTACAATGTGTGAAGCCTATTTCTGGTGTCCCCCGCCGTGATATTGCCGTAATATTGCAAAAGCGGCGTAAAACCAAACTCACTCATTCACTCTCTCTTCACATCCACGGTAAGTCATAGGACCTATTCTCTGCATTACTGTGAACTATGTTGTAAAGATTGTTGTAGGTTAAACACTGACCAAATCCTGTCGCCTCTTGTCGATGATGCCTTCCGCCCAGCTATGTACAAAGTCACAACGCTCCTTAAACTTCTTCCCCTTGGACGTGTTGTAAAAGACGAAGTCAAAGAAGTACAGTGGGTTGCTGAAAAAGACAAGTCTTCAATCATTCTCGCGCCTGATGCATCCATTTAATGAATTCAAGAAATCCATTGCATTCAATAATATTCTGTTATTGTCTAACAACTTATATTTGCCTTTTTAACTAATCAACGCGAAAGTACGAAACAAGATTGGAAGATTAAGGGGATTAAACAAGTAGCAGTCGGAATCAGGTTGAGCGTGAGTGAATGGATCTTATTAAAATACAACTCAATATTACAGTTTAGTGGCACTCAAATTTTGGCAACCCCGATTAAATAAGTAAATTAGTAAGTATATAAACAATAATAATTAATGTCAACAAAAAAAACCCAAAAAAACCCAATACAACAAAAACAACACCAAAATAAACTTAACAAAAACTCCCGAAACTTACAAGTTTCGGATTGTAGCAACTTACAAGTATCGGATTGTAGCCAGGGTGAGCAAGTCATTCACTGCGCTTACATACGGATGTGTTTGCCTGAAAGAAAAAAAAGTATGCATATTAATTGATAAGTCTTTCTTTAAAACAATATTGATCGTACATGCTGTGTGTAGAACTGAAGATTGCCTGTAACTAGATGTAACTGAAACCATGTCCCGCGTTCACCATTGTTTCTGGCTCTCAGACTTCCCCGTACACAGCCCTGTTACACTTTCTCATCTGCGCTGAAGTCGGTCTGTTTCCCGTACTCACCCCTGTTTCTACCTGCCTGGCTACTCCCATCTCTACTGTTGTCATATATCAAATTCCCCGTACTCACCCATGTTATTATTTATCAAACTCCCCGTACTCACCCATGTTATCATATATCAAATACCCCGTACTCACCAATGTTGTAATAGTCTAATTCCTCTTACTCACCCATATTATCATTTATCAAATTCCTCGTACTCACCCATGTTGTCATATATCAAATTCCCCGTACTCACCCATGTTGTATTAATCTAATTCCTCGTACTTACCCATGTTAGCATATATCAAATTCCCCGTATTCGCCCCGCTTTTCATAATCAAATTCCCCGTACTAACCCATGTTAAAATATATCAAATTCCTCGTACTCATCCATGTTATCATTTATCAAATTCCTCGTACTCATCCATGTTGTCATATATCAAAGTCCCCGCACTCACCCATGTTGTCAGATATGAAATTCCCCATACTCACCATTGTTGTCATAGAACAAATTCCCCGTACCCACACATGGTTTTTTATATTCACTCATTTTGTAATATTTCAAATTCCCCGTACTCACCCCTGTTGCTGTATGTTTTCCTTGACCGACATGGCGCATCTCAACAGGATATCAAATGTACACAGACTGATCATGTTGAACAACTCAAAGCTGGTGCCTTCCTTGATGTGATTGTCAATCTTAGCCTGTTAAATAAAAGTTTATTGGTGAAGGTTTTATTGAATGAGTGAGTCAACTTTAACGGCAATTTCACGACCTATAAGTGTGAGGGAATGCTGAAGTGATGAAGTTGTAAGGTGTCCACATCTTCGAAAACCAATCTGATCATGCGCTTCACACACACACACACACACACACACACACACACACACACACACACACACACACACACACACACACACACACACACACACACACACACACACACACACAGGTGCCTAGGAAGGTTTTTGTAAATGCTTAAATTACTAAGGCCTTTAAAGCTGATCAGGCAACACTGAACATAGTGCGGCATGACACGTTGAAATTAAAACACATGTAAACTGCATGTACACTCAGATGATTGTAAAAACATATACACGCCGTTCACATTAAAACACTGCCACATGTATACTTACCAGAAATATTGGCTCAATTTGTAAAACGTTTTTAGTCAGGGCTGAATTACCCTCTGTCAATAAAAGACGACACACACCAGAATAGTTGAAATCACAAAATTCCACAAAATTAATGCTTTGCTCAGCCAATCGAGAACTGAGAGGGCTACATGTAACTCAAACACATAGATGGAGATCTTAAACCGAACTTGATGTCCAATTTAAGGTAGAGGCTGTCAATTTCATGTGATTTGACTTATTAACGGTGTTCCAATTGTATCGTCATTCTTAACCGGAAACTTTAAGAGGGAACCTGATAGGCTCAAGTAAATATTGACATCCAGAATGAAGATACCCCCTACATATTAAGGAATGCCAAAGTTTAGGAGCCCTTCATAAATGGTAAGTAAACCTGCGAGTTTACCTTAAACTAACAATTGCAACACTGAATGTATCATGGTGACATTGTTGAAGGCATGTAAGCTTCTTACCATCATAGTGTCGATAGCGTTGTTGGAGACTTCGACGTAGGGTTTAAGGATGTCGAAGTGGAAGGCGGGGGTAAGGAGTCGACGAGCTCGGTACCAGCGTTGTCCCCCAGCGATCAGGAGACCCTCCCCGAGCCAGGGCACTACTGTTTCATATTGGGCCCCAAATCCCCTTGGTTTTGGCTCTGTGAAAATGCAAAGAAAGGGTCAAACCTTCTGGACTGATTTTGAAATCAATGTACACATATTGAAACATTTCTTTCAGTGTTGAGCGAGACACATTTACAATTGTTTGTAAACTTCTATTGCGAAAGTTTGACCAAGATTTGTGGGTCTTGTTGATATCGTTTCAGATACAGTTAGAACCTATTTCAATGCACCCAGACTAGTTTTTTTCTTTTCTGATTACCTGTGGACTTGATGATGGGTCTGATGGTATCTGGGTGGTAGACCCTGATGACTGGATTAAGAGGCCCTACCCAGAGCCGGTAGTACTTGGGGAATCTCTTCATCCATTCCTGCTCCACTTCGGCACGTTTCTCGAAGTCCTGGGGCAGCTGAAACACATCCATGCACCTGATTAAGGAGACTCGTGTCAAGCACTAAAGCGACGATACCGCCCCTGTCCCGCCAGCTTTTATAACGGTCATACACAGTAACGTACAACGTCAGTAGTCTACTTCACAGTCCCTAAACCATATAATTTCCCTACAGCCTATCCCTCCCTGCAGTGCTAAAGCCGTAAATAAAGCAAGTCTAGATTTCCAAAGGTTCAGGATCTCTGGTGTCCCCGGGGCTCCATTTCAATTTAAATGGATTTATTTGTTATAATCAAAATTATATACATAGGATATATATATTCACAGACTAAGCGTTAGCCTAGGAGACTCGATTTTGTACATGACATGCAGGGGGGTCACTGATTTTGTACATAAATTTTAGGGGGGTCATTCACATTGTACATGCTTCTCCATAAAAATCTCCACCTCGAGGACAAAGGTATTAAGAAATAAGAAACACCTAACACTATATCCAGCATGTTTATAAATCTACAAAAATAATTGGACAACCCAACATTTCAAATCTGAGCCTTAAATATCTTTCAAGAAGAAAACAAATCTTCCCATTTTTGACCTTCAGTTATTTAGGAGATAAAGCTGTTTGGAAATTAGATGAATGTTAGACCGAATTGATAGAATCTAAATTTCATTTGAAACCGGACGCGCAGTAACAGCCTTGCGGGGAAACCTGGCAGAAAGCAGAATTCTGGTGGTTCAATTTTTGACATGTATCTTTTGAACGATGCAACGGGACATGATAGAGTATGCGTGGCATAAATTTGGTGTTTCGCCTTAGCGTTATCTTGCGAATTTCCTCATAAAAGTGTCGAAGGTGTGACGCAAATATAGTGTTTCAAACTTACTGGATATCTCATGTTGTGTACGCCATTCAAAAAGGAAACAAATATACCGTTTCCAAGGTATGCCAATATTACGAACGTTTTACTGTAATTTTTGTATAAACAGGGATGTATTTCTATAAGGCTTTCTGATTTATAAGTTAGATATTGTTTGGCTATGTTTGGGGCTGTACAATTGTAATTGAGTTTGAATATGTTTATAATAGAAGGTAATATGATAGTGACGTTGCCTAATAACTGTGGAGGAAAAAAAATATCATATAATTGTATATTTTTTTAAAATGTTTTATTAGCATTTCCATCACGTCTGTTGTGTTGATATTAGTCATGTTGGTTGATAAAAGCTGATGCGGCAGTGTTGTATATGTGCGCAGTGAAGCGGTCATGAAATCAGACGCATTTTCAATCCAGTTGTCTAATTGTATTGATTGTCCAATCAAATTCGAGTATTTCACGTAGCCATGATAGAATAATTACTATTAGTAACCAACTCACAATAGATAACCTGCAAAATCCCACAGGGCATTGCTTAGGTACTAAATGTAAGAGACTAAGTTTGATCATTATAGTGTACTCGGGGACATGGATTCAGATGTGGAACCATGTGACATGATGACATACATCCAGGGCATCATTCCTGACATATGACTAGGTCCCATCTAACAAATGTTAAACATGTCTTTATTACGGATGCGGAAGGGGTTTGTTGCGGTTATTTTATGTCCGTATATTTCAAACATATCCCAACTGCGTAGATAGGTGCTCATGATTTTGATCACATGATTGTCTGGTCCAGACTCGATTATTTACAGACCGCCGCCAACCAACCAAACAATCAAACTTACATAAATCACTTTAAATGAATATTTCCCGTTGTTTACATATTCACAGACATCAATTAGTTTTGAGATTATTTAGGGACTCGACATATGCAGTAAAGTGACTGATCATGCAGTAAAGGGACTCAACACATGCAGTAAAGGGACTCGACACATGCAGTAAAGGGACTCGACACATGCAGTAAAGGGACTCAACACATGCAGTAAAGCGACCCACCACATGCAGAGAAGTAACTCCCCACATGCAGTAAAGTGACTTAATACATGCAGTAAAGTGACTTAACAAATGCAGTAGAGACTCAAAATATAGAGTAAAATGACACGACACATGCAGTAAAATGGCTCGATATACGCAGTAAAATGACACGACACATGCTGTAAAATGGCTCGATATATGCAGTAAAATGACACGACACATGCGGTAAAATGGCTCGATATATGCAGTAAAATGACACGATACATGCAGTAAAATGGCACGATACATGCGGTAAAATGGCTCGATACATGCTGTAAAATGGCTCGATACATGCAGTAAACTGACACGACACATGCTGTAAACTGACTCACCACATGCAGGTTCCCAGACCTCCAGTTAAACTCCTTGACGCCCTGACAGTTGTTGAAGAAGCTGAAGAAACGCCGATACCAGACCACGAGTTTGACCACTCGGTACGCCACGTACAGGGCCACGGATGTCCCCACAGCCTGCAGAGCAGTGTCACGATTGAGACGGGATACAAGTTGCAGAACGTCCATGTTTGCAAGCCGACGAACCGAAGTTCTCTAACCAACAACAGACTCTGTCGATCCTTATATACACACTCCCGATGAACAGCCATTGACCCGGTGATAAAATCTGCTGTGACGTATCGTTTACACATGGGTCCCATTCACCGTTTGACGTGATCAATATCTGAAAAGTCTATCTGACAAATATATTGCTCAAGGCATATTTCCTCCAAAACATGTATGGAGAAGAAGTGTGAATGCTACTGTACATAGCTATGAAGAACAATTATGGCGATCACAAACTTTCTATCGTTCAAACATGTCATTTTACGCAACAATACATACTACACTCTCTCATCATACTTTCTGGCAACTGGCATAGAAACACCCTAAGTATAAATCTTCCTTGCAAGTTTGTGTCAAAATATCATCAAGAGTGAGTGAGTCTAGTTTTTCGCCGCTTTGAGCAATATTCCAGCAATATCACGGCGGGGAACACCAGAAATGGGCTTCACGCATTGTTTGGATGACACTTTCTCAGTAAATTACAGATTCTAGTATTTTTGCCTAACAGTGAGAGTGGGGGTACGAATCCCGGATAGGACTCAACCCAACAAAAGTACTAGTTTTTACCCAAGGGTGGAATTCGGTTGTGTACATCAATACATATGTAAGGACATCCACAAAAGCTACAGGAGGGAAATCCATGTTTTGTCATTATTTTGTGTATGTCTGCATATATAGGTGTGTGTATATGTATTATTATATGTATGATATTTGAGGAAATGTAGAAATGTGTTTAGAAACAGGCTGTCATCTCTTTTGGTGAGGTGAGGTGAAATTGGGTTTAACGTCGTGCTTGAGAATATTTCGCTCATATGACGACGTGCATACGTGTGTATGTGTGTGTGCAGTTGCTTGAACTAGCCCAGACGTAAGCTGGTTTTATAGTGCTAGCCCACTCAGACACCAACAGTGAAGCATGAATACCTCACTCAGACACATTATACTGACTCTGAGCCGACCAGTTCTTGTTGTACCCATTACAAGCGCCAGGCAGGGACCAACAAGTACCATATTTTAACGTCTTTTGGTATGACGCGGCCGGGGGCGTTATTTACAGCAGAACAGCACTGCTCGTCCAGGCGACAAGAATACCATAACCCCTACATGCCACTACCCCTACAGCCCAGTACCCCTACTATTAGTTAAAACAACACACGGCATTTACCTACCTGAACTGACCCAAAGAGGGATTAGTGCATAGAGTATACAGATGAGATCAAGGGAGGGATTAAACTGTTCTTTAGTGTTTTGTGTCAAGGAAATTTGGGATTAGCTAAAAGTTGTTTTAGTTTCATGATGAAAGATAAACCTCTAGTGAGTAGAACAATTTTACAAATTGGATAATGTGTAGGTTGTTAAATGTTGAAATTAAGTTGTTTTCGTGCCATGATAAAAGATACACAGTATTATTGAGAAGTGGAGGGAAATGAGAAGGTGAGACGAGAAAGTAAATTGAGATAGTTCGGTATAGTATATAGCTGTTGACAACAAACTAACATGGCATCAACATGGCTGGTCTGCGTAATGTTGAGTTTGTTATGTCGCGGAGAGGTAGCCCCCAAGTCCTATTTGACGGTTATCTTCACACTAAGAATGTCGAGAGACAGTCTTGTGTACACTGGAAGTGTGTTCAGTCAACATGCAGAGGAAGAGTCACAACTGTTGGCAATGTTGTAAGGAATACGACAGAACATAATCACCCACCAGAGGATAGTCAGAAGGTCCGGTTTGTCAGCAACCTGAGGAAGAGAGCCAGGAGGAGTCAACACAGATGCGCACCATCTACAACGACGAGCTCACCAACCTGACCAATGATGAGACACGCACGATGCCATCCTTTCCATCCATGTGCAGCGCCCTGTACCGCCACCGCCAGAAGACGATTCCTGTTTTACCACAGACGAGATCAGAAGTCGACCTTCAAGATCCCTGGACGCAGACAGCAAATGGTCGACCATTCCTCCTGTTTGCTGACGGCGATGATGACAAGATCCTGGCATTTGACACCCAAGAGAGTATTCAGGCCTTGCAGTCAGCCGAGAACATCTACATGGATGGAACATTCACTGCCTGCCCTGCACTATGGAATCAAGTCTACATCATACATGCCAGACGTGGGACCACCACATATCCCCTCATCTTCGCCTTACTTCCCGACCGCCAGACGACGACCTACTCCAGACTCTTCAGACTCCTCAAGGATGAAGTTCAGCGGAGACTCAACAGGCCGCTTGTCCCATTCTGTATCCAGACAGACTTCCATCTTGGACTGGCTGTTGCCTACAAAGAAAACCCCGAAGTCACCAAGTGGATCAGGAGAGCAGCTGGGCTACCTCTACTCCCTCAAGACACGGTCCAGGACACGTGGGTAGAAGCCATGGACGACACTCCAGACGTCCCAAGAGCAGTCGACTTCAACGATTACATCGTGACAACCTGGGTCGACGACACAGCCAGATTTCTACTTCCCCTGTGGAACCACAACCTGACAACTGGGCCGAGGACAAACAACAATCTAGAATGTTTTCACAACCGACTGAACCGTGAAATTCCACACAGGCATCCGAACATATACAGATTTGTAGAAGTCATTAGGAGAATTGAACATGCTGAGAGGGTGAAGATTTCACAAAAAGACTTTGGTGCTGCGACAAGAAGCAGAAAGCGAGTCTTCAGGGAGATTGACAATCGCCTGTGTAGACTCAAGGAGCAGCTTGAGCTTGGACAGAAATCACCTCTTCAGTTCTTGGACGCCGTCGGCTATCTGCTTAAGCTGGGATAGATTGAAACACTGAATGTTCATAGACTGAAACACTTGACACAAATGACTATGTTAACATTGAATGTTAACAATTAATTGTTAATGTCCATCAAAGAATCATGATGACGAATTATTGTTAATTCTTATTAAAATCTTGATGATGACAAATGATGATCACTTTTCATTAAAATCATTCTCTCAACCTTTTAGTTGTGTGTTGTTATGTCTCTTAAGTGGATTAGTCCATTGTGTGGGATAGGTAACAGGCAGTGGATTAACAGTGCAACAGACCGTAAACTATGTTGTTATAAGCTGTAGGGGTAGTGGCATGTAGGGGTAATGGGGGGTTACCCATTACACACCGAGCGAGATGATAAAGGGAGAGCAAGCTAACTGGGCATCTCATGTGAGTACGATTTTGTTTAAAATGGGTTTTGGGTGTGTTTGGATATCGTAGGATTCTGGAAATAGAGTCATTTCATGGAATCGACTCTACTTATAGCAGGGACGTTTTATGGATGTGGAAATAGTGATCGAGTGAGTCTGAGTAGTCATTTTATTACTGCATATTAAAAGATATAGAATTATTCCATGTGTTTTGTAAATATATCAATGGAATTATAAAATCGGTACATTAGATTAATAACTGAGATTGTTAGTGGCTGTATCCTCAAACAGGGTTAAATCACTGTAAACTAGTAATTGTATTCCTGTGAGGTTGTTTAAGTCCCAAAACATTCAAAGTATGTTTCCTCTTACTACGTTTTTTATCGTAGAATATGTGTTCTTTTAATGCTTGGCTGAATTTGTAATAATCGCCAACATCTGAAGGAATCGTGTAAATACAATGAGTGAGTGAGTATGGTCTAACGCAGCTTTTAGCAATATTCCAGCAATATTCCAGCGGGGACACACCAGCAATGGGCTTCACACACTGTACCCGTGTGGGGAATCGAACCCGGGTCGTGGGCGTGATGCGCGAACGCTTTAGTTACTAGGCTACCCAAAAGGGACTTATTAAAGAGAAGCTGCATTGACATTGATAAACAAATCCGGAGTGAAAGATTAGTAATTCTGTTTCCTTAAGTAACGACGTTTACAAAGGGTGAATTGATGCTTTGTGGTAATTATTATTTCCTTGAATTATTTCTTAAATATTAGTTTGCAATAGTTTGCCAGTATTAGAGGAAATGAAGAGATAGTACATTCCTCGCAATCCTCATCAGTAGCCATGAAGGAAATGCTGATTCCATGGTGTCCCAAAAGAATTTAAATGTTAAGTGAGGGTTTGCTCTGTGGTTAACATACAATTTAAAGTTTTAGGGCAAGGAGAACTATATATATATGAATATCATTCAGAGAAAACTCAATATATCAAGATACCACGATCGTTTTTATGTCATACAAACATATTAGAGACAAAACCTTTTCCTGATCGACTAAAACATCTCTGCCAAGTGCGGAGCATGTTGTTTTGTGATAATGATGTGATGTTATTGAGGGAGACAAAGTCCTTTCGACATCCACAAGAGCCTCTGTGATCGACTATATCATAAGCATGTGTTTATTAAACACTAACAAATAGCGATGATACCAGGTTTTCCAGAAAAGGTGAGGTCTTGTCCCACCAGTTTCACCAGTCATAAACACATGCAAAGTCTTGTCACCCTGACCAAAATAGGAACGTGTAGCACTAGTCAAAATAGGTAACTGCACTCTTGGTAGCGCCTTCAATACTAGTACTCAATAAGCTCTCCTTCTCATTACTTTGACTTGAAAAGAGGTTAGAATTAGTCTTCAGCAATCCATGATTGTCCTAAGAAGCAACTAACGGGATCAGGTGGTCATACATGCTGAATTCGTTGACACATGTCATCGACTCCCAACAGCGTTGATCTATGCTCATACTGTTGATCACTGGATTGTCTCGTCCAGGCTCGATTATTTATAGACCGCCGCCATATAGCTGAAATATTGCTGGGTGCGGCTTAAACAAGAAATAAACAAACACTTGAGAAGAAAGTCAACAAAGTTTATGACTTACGGTCACGCACAGATATCAAACACGTAACTGTAACTTGTTAAGATCATACCCCAACTTCCAGTATCATTTACAACATTAGAATCCGTCATTACAATAGGCAACTAGGCTCCCTTAATCTGCCTCAGCCCCTTAATACCAAGTATTGTTCCTCCCGCCCAACCCTCCGTACAATGCTAAAGTCCCAAATAGAGCAAGTCTAATTTCCTCAGATTCTGAATCTCCCTTCTCACTTGGGCTCCTTTTCAATTTAAAATGGATTAATTTTTTTTCTAACAAAATTATATGTATTCAGACACTAAGCATGACTCTAAGGTTCCCCTTGCGATCCTTCACTGAGGGATCGGCTTGAAACACTAACACTAGTCTGTCTTACAGTCCCTAAAACACATTATTTTTCCTTCTAGTCAGCCCTATAGGCTAAAGTCAGAAATGAAGACAGTCTGAATTTTCCCAGGTTCTCCCTTCTCACTGAGGCTCCTTTTAAATTGATAAGGAATTGTTTATTTCTATCAAAATTACATATCATTCAGAGACTAAGCATTAGTATATACTAGCACCATCAGCTGTAGTACTACCTTGAACCAGCGGGTGATTGTAAACCCAGCGAGTGACCCGACCCACAATGTATTGAACAAGATCCTGTGATAATGGAAACAAACCCTGTGCCGGTGTGTCCCAGATAGGTCATTCGGCTATATGGGTTTTCCCGTTAACAACAAACATAGTCAAGAAGTGGGACTCTTCAAGGCAGACTGGGTCCAGATAGCAATCGGCTGTTGATCGAGAAGGTTTAAGCTTCCAGGAGCTCATTTAAGAATTTAATGGACTAAAAGGTAACGCCATTCCTGTTTTGTTATTATGCCATTTCTGAGAGGCCTAAAATCTGCTCTTGTGTTTGAACAATGATTACCCCTCTTTATCTGTTAAGGGGAACACTGCAGGGTTACGTTCTTAAGACGTGGAAGGCTCATGCATGACAATGTTTTTGAATGTAAATATTCGCGCTGATTATCGTGAATGGCTCACACATGATGGTCAACTATTCGCTCTGATTATGATGTTGCGTTATAAAACATATGTGAGATTTATGTTCGATTAAGTTTTATTGATCTACAAACATATATACTTATTTAAATGTCTTAAGATGATAACTGAAGCTCTAAAGTTAAAAACACATTCACATGATAGAAGCGTACAGCTATTCGTCAAAGTGAGTAAAATGCTTAAGTGAATGAGATTAAAAGTGCATTAGAAAATTTATTTCAGTTAAATCAGGGCTTTCCGTTTGAGAAATGTGTGGATCCTTGGTGGTGGAGGTCTTGCACCACCGTCTCTCACTTTGGTGAGATTCACGAGAACTGATATGGCTCAGGCACAACATATATATTATAATCAGAGCGAATAGTGGACCATCATATGTGAGCCATTCACGATTAGGGTACGCATCATCATGATCAGAGCGAATAGTCGACCATCATATGTGAGTCGAATGTTCAGTGTCTGTGCCTTGCGAACACCCACAGTCCTTCAGTGGCCTTCATAATACCGGCATCCTTCCGGCCTGCTCGGTGGCTTGTATCTACCTCCAGATTGTATCTGTAACACAAGACAATACTAACGTTCTTTACTGTATTAGCAATGAGATGTTAATGAAAATAAATGACAAAGTAGATCAATTTGTCCACGTGACTTTAGTACAATTCTGAAACTGACTGCACAAACGTTTCAAAAACAAAAATGATTTCTAGAACTAAACATTTCTATAACAGGAACCATTTTTTATGGATAGACAACTTCTTTATTGCATAGATGCAATGTTTCGGAGTCAGGACTAACACCGTTATTAAGCAAGTAGATTTCTAGAGTTTGTGCTGTTTATGTCACTGCATGACATATCCTTTTTCAAATAACAGCGGCTGAAATCACATATAAAAAGAAAACATACCTTTGAAGAATTCTTCCTATCATGACCTTTTGCTCGTGGAGGGCGAAATGTTGTCCGATGCAGTTTCTGAACAGTAAATATTAATACGAATAATGCCCCAAAGGAAGTAAGTTTTTCTTGTAATAGTAACTTCAAGAAATCATACATTTGATTTTGTTCATATTACAATAACTTGTCCAGAATACAGACTGGAAATAATTAAAACTTGTCTATAATAAAATTATATAATTCTGGTAAAAAGTTCGAAAATTATTCCTGTATTTATTCATTATTTCAAGTGTGAAACAGCTGCATAGGCGGCGGCTCGCACACATTGAACAGATACTTAGAAGCTCAACTTAGGAATCTTATAATGGAACCTGCTTTTAGTAGAAATATTCTTATGTTTATAGAAAGCATTTGCTCAAAAACAACTCATACTTTTTGACTCAGGTGGTCACGCCGATATATCAATCAACATCCTGTAGGCTTAAAGGGTTAATTGAAACATTGTAGTATAGTCTGTCATTGACATTTTGTCAAAATGTTCAGATGACACTACACAGGTCACTACCAAACTAATGGAACTCCAAGGACCTCAGCGATCCTAAGGGAGATAGGCTCGACATACCACTACAGCTGTACTGTTACCTCGGGCCAGCTGAAAAGGGGACATATGCGTAGTGGTCCTTCTTCTGGATGTTATCGGGCAGAAACCGATCAGGATCAAAGACTTCCGGGTCCTCCCACACCTCCGGGTTGTGATGAATGTTCCACAACCCCAGTGAGACGACTGTTCCTGCGGGGAAGATCTTCCCGTCAATATCCATTGGGTGTACCAGTCTCCGACTGACGTAGGGAGCGACTGCGTGGATCCTCAGCCCTTCCTTCAGACATCGCGTCATATACTCCATCTAGGGGATGTCATCCCTAATAATATATAAAGGTTTCGTTATCCTTTCATCTGCTCAAACATCTCCAACCCAACAGTCAAACATATCAATATATACAGTCTCAACAGGTATGGATGTATGATCTAATATTGGCACTACGCCTATCAGATCATGTGTACCAGAATGAGTGGTGTACTCAACCAGATCATGTGTCCTATAGGACCGGGTGGTGTACCTTACCAGACCATGTGTTTACCAGAACGGGTGGTGTACTCTACCAGAACGGGTGGTGTACCTTACCAGGCCATGTGTCCTATCAAAACGGGTGGTGTACCCTAACAGTGAGTGAGTGAGTGAGTTAAAATTTATCGTCACATCGGCAATATTTCAGCCATATCGTGACGAGAACAATTAATTGGTACACATAGTAAGTAATAGTAAATTATAAAAGCCTGCCTACGAAGGACAGTAAAATAACTAGATTATCACAAAGAATAATTTAAAAACTAGTAATTATATCTAAAACAGTTTAACTATAGTTGACAATACAATATAAAACCGGGCTATAGATTGCTAACAACTGAAGGTAGATCACCATACTAGGGACCATGGGGACTTACAGTACTTTTGCTACCTGCATGGACCCTAGCTGGATTTACACCATCCCTCAGCTATTAGCAATTTTAGATATTCAAGCCACAAATTAAAAGAACATATATTCTACGATTAAAAATAACAGTAGATTTAAATTTACTTTGAATGCTTTGGGACTTACGTACCCTCTCAGGAGGACAATAATTTTACAGTACTTCAACCCCCTTTGAGGGCACAGCCACTAACAATCTCAGTTATTAATCTAAACTACCAACAATAAAATATTTAACTATTTACAGATCAGTAAGCAAATCTTATTCTTTTAAAAATTCAACTATTAAATGATAATTAACATTATAAAAAAGATCCTTCAAAGTTTTGACATTGAAATAGATATCCCTTGTGATGGAATATTCAACACAGTCAAGCAGGACATGCTTGACCGTGATTCTTTCATCACAAAGGGATACAAAACTGGAGGATCCTCACCTTTCAATAGGTACTCATGAGTATATCTTGTGTGGCCAATACGACATCGTCGTATGATGACCTCTTCAAATCTGGACTGACAACCCAAGTAGGTGTAACCGATAGTTGGTTTGATTGCATGTAATTTATTGATACCTACTTGGGCATCCCACTTCTTTTGCATCAGATCGCGGATGTATGTTCTAATGCTGGCTTTATAATCAGAGTATGGGATCAGAAGTGGTGTCACAGATTTGTTGAGTGCTGCCTTGGCAGCAAAGATCGGCCATTGTGTTGCCAGAAATGCCAACGTGGCTGGGTAACCAACAAAGACGATGTCGCATTGGCCAGTAGCAAGATCATTATACAATTCAATTATGTCAATTAAAAGTGGATGTTTGCAAGATAGATTTTTAATAGCCTGAAGGCAAGATAGAGAGTCAGAAAAGATTATATATTGTTTATGTTTAGGATGCCTTTGAATATATTCGAGAGCTGTTAAGATTGCGTTTGCTTCTGCTGTAAATATAGAGCTGTTATCTGGTAATCTAGAAGAGATTGTTCTGGATCCAATGACAGTGGCACATGCCACTGCGCCACCGTCCTTGGACCCATCTGTAAATAAGGATTTATATGTATTATATGTACTTTTTAATTGATTATACTTTTGTTTATATTGTAATTCATTAGTTTCTGATTTTTTAAACTTTGTCAGAGTTAGGTCAACCTGTGGGTTAACCAACTGCCAAGGAGGAGAAGAAAGAAGACGGGAAGGAGCTATATGTTCTAGCTCAATGCCAGCAGCAGAAAGGAAAGGTTTCACTCTTATACCAAGAGGCGGTACAAGAGAAGGCTTCTTGTTATACAGATCTTCATATAGGGGATTAAAGACACAGTTATATGCAGGGTTTGACTCATTGGAATAAAGTTTTGTAATATACTGTAAAGTTAATTTTATACGGCGTTGTGTAAGAGATGGCTCATCAGCCTCGACGTAGAGGCTGTCAACAGGTGAAGTTCTAAAGGAACCAAGACATAGTCTTAGACCTTGGTGGTGGACAGAATCTAAAAGTTTGAGATTACTTTTGCAGGCTCCACCATACACGATGGAGCCATAATCAAGTTTGGAACGTACCAATGATCGATATAATTGTAGGAGGTAGCTTGATCCCTCCCACTTAGAATTGGAAACGACTTTCAACAAGTCAAGTGCCTTCAAGCATTTAGTTTTGAGGGACTTGATATGGGGAAGAAAAGTTAGATGCAGTAAAAAAATTAAACCCAAGAACTTGGCTTTCTTAACGACTTTGATGGGAGAGCCATTTAGAGACAGTTCAGGGTCTTTATGTGGTTTATATTTTCTACAAAAATGGATACAATTAGTTTTGGATTTAGAAAATTTAAAGCCGTTTTCAAGACACCATTTATCTATTTTGTTTAAACACAACTGCAGTTGCCGTTCAATAGTATGCATATTTTTACCACGACAAGAAATATTAAAATCATCCACAAAAAGTGACCCATCGATTGAATCACTTAAGACCTTTGATAAACTGTTGATCTTAACACTAAACAATGTGACAGACAAAATACTACCTTGTGGGACACCCTGATCCTGCTCATAATGGTCAGACAGGGTAGAACCCACGCGGACTTGAAATTGGCTGTCAGTTAAAAACTCGGATATAAACTGAGGCAAACGGCCTCGTAAACCAAAATCATGTAAATCTTTTAAAATGCCGTGCTTCCATGTTGTGTCATAAGCTTTCTCTAAATCGAAAAATACTGACACCGCATGTTGCTTGTTAATAATGGCATTCTTTACGAATGACTCCAATCGAACTAAATGGTCAATGGTACTGCGATTTTTACGAAAACCACATTGAATATTTGTGATTAAATTATTTGATTCTAAGTACCACGTTAATCTGTTATTGACCATGCGTTCCATGGTTTTGCAAACGCAGCTAGTCAAAGAAATGGGCCTATAATTAGAGGGATCCGTATGATCACGTCCAGGTTTAGGTATGGGTACAACAATGGCATCACGCCAGGAGGAAGGACAGTTGCGAGATGTCCAAATGTCATCAAAAATATTCAGTAGTGTCTCTAAACAGGATTCCGGTAAGTGTTTCAGGAGCTGATAATGAATGTTATCAGCTCCTGTTGCAGTATCATGCGCTTGGTCAAGAGCAGTATGAAGCTCATGAATAGAAAAGATTTCATTATAATCTTCCCCATTATCCGAATGAAAATTGATTTTGTTCTTTTCCTGCCGTTGTTGGTATTTTTGAAATTGAGGAACATAGTTAGACGAGGAAGAATGTTTTTGAAGTGTTTCACCCAGTTTGTTTGCGATATCAGATGTATCTGTTAACAACTGATCTCCAGTTTTGAGATGATGTATGCTTGATTTGGTACCCTTACCTTTAATTTTGTGGATCATGTTCCACACCTTTGACATCGGCGTACGGGAATTTATCTTTGAAACATACCTTTGCCAAGACTGGCGTTTATTTTGTTTAAAGGTACGCCGGGCTTTAGCATTTAATACTTTATATTTATTGAAGTTATGGACCATTGGATGGCGACGGAAATATTGTTCAGCCTTCTTCCGTGCCTTCCTAGCCCGTTTGCAATCAACAGTAAACCATGGCTTACGTATGTGAGGATTTGGAGAGGACTTCGGAATGCATTCATCAGCAATTTTGTGCAGCTCATCGGAGAAGTGTTGTATAGAGTCAGGAGCATCAACAAAAACATCAGGTGTTAGATGTTTAGGACAAAGAGTTTTATAGTGAGCCCAGTCAGCTTTAGTGAAATTCCATCTTGTTGACTGAGGGACATCAGATGGTGTCACAGATTTCAAAACGGTAGGAAAATGATCACTACCTGAGAGGTCGTCATGCACAGACCACTCAAATTCGGTTAGTAAATTAGAAGTTACAACTGATAGGTCCAGACAGGAATAAGTACCAGTTGCAGGGTGTAAATAAGTGGTAGATCCATCATTGAAAATGCATAAATCATTATTTAAGAAAATGTACCCTAACAGACCATGTGTCCTGTCAGAACGCGCGGTGTACCCTACAAGACCATGTGTCCCATCAGAACGTGCGGTGTACCCTACCAGACCATGTGTCCACCAGAACGGGTGGTGTACCCTACCAGACCATGTGTCCACCAGAACGGGTGGTGTACCCTACCAGACCATGTGTCCTACCAGGACGGCTGGTGTACCCTACCAGGTCATGTGTACTATCAGAACGGGTGGTGTACCCTACCAGGTCATGTGTCCTATCAGAACGGATGGTGTACCTTACCAGACCATGTGTCTACCAGAAGGGGCGGTGTACCCTACCAGATCATATATCCTACCCGAATGGGTGGTGTACCCTACAAGACCATGTGTCCTATCAGAACGGGTGGTGTACCCTACCAGGTCATGTGTCCTATCAGAATGGGTGTGTACCCTACCAGACCATGTGTCTACCAGAAGGGGCGGTGTACCCTACCAGATCATATATCCTACCCGAATGGGTGGTGTACCTTACCAGACCATGTGTCCTATCAGAACGGGTGGTGTACCCAACCAGGTGATGTGTCCTATCAGAACGGGTGGTGTACCCTACCAGATCATGTGTCTACCAGAAGGGGCGGTGTACCCTACCAGATCATATATCCTACCCGAACGGGTGGTGTACCTTACCAGACCATGTGTCCTATCAGAAGGGGCGGTGTACCCTACCAGATCATATATCCTACCCGAACGGGTGGTGTACCCTGCCAGACCATGTGTCCTATCAGAACGTGCGGTGTACCCTACCAGACCATATGTCCACCAGAACGGGTGGTTTACCCTACCAGATCATGTGTCCTATCAGAACTGGTGGTGTACCCTACCAGGTCATATGTCCTATCAGAACGTGTGGTGTACCTTACCAGACCATGTGTCTACC